GTCACAATTTTTTTAATTTAAATTTTAGTCACAATTTTTTTAATTTAAATTTTAATCACGATTCTTTTAATTTAAATTTTAATCACGATTCTTTTAATTTAAATTTTAATCATTTAGTACATACAAATTAATACATCATTACATATTCATTTTTATCTTTTATATGTATTTTTTTTTCATCAAACTTCTCATTTTATTCGTAATACAGTTGATTTGATTACTAATTAATAACTATTATTGTGATAAACATTTAATTGATATAAAGCATCATCTAATATAATTAGCATATATCAATGAATTATTGAAGAATGTTCAATGGATTTGAATTTATATTAAATCCAAAAAAAAAAAAAAAAATATAACATTGAAATAAGTTAATTGTTTATATTATAGATTACAAATACAAATTTTTGATAGCCTTCAGAAAGATTACATCCAATTAAATATCATTCAGATTAAGCTTAAATTAGTCGTGATTTAAATCCGAGCTAATTATAGATTGATTTAAAAAAAGCACAATAAAATAAGCCGAATAAGCAGATAAGAAAATAAGAAAAGGAAGCTATGCTACTAACAAGAAAAAAAAAAATGTAATGTAATAAAATGTAAAAGTAAAATTTTTTTTTTCCTAGAAGAGATATTTGATGTCTAACGCAATTTTTGCACAAATATGTTGACGTCAAAAGATTTACTATCAAAATTTGTCAAATGATAATTTTCTTTCTTTTCATTCCAATTACATTCAATTGTTCGAAATTCGAATATTTCATTGTAATGTCATAAATTATAGCAAAACTTTTAACTCTTTGAAACTTTTGAACAATTTCAAAATCTTTTAATTTTAACATTTAAACAAATTTGCAACAAATGATTTTCCTCTATGTAATATATTTATGAAATGGTAGAGAGGTAGGGAAGTGTATTAACTACTCTGTTAACAATTTTAAAATTAAATGGTTCTTAAAATTTCACTGCAAAACATTTATTTTTCAAAATATTTAACAGCTGAATTTCATCTCTTTCCTTTCTTTTTTTCTTTTTTTTTTTTTCGTCAAGATTTTGTAAAAACGATAAGAATGATATGATGGAAATAAAAATTCAATGAACAAACATGAGCATATATTGATGTCAAAATTTCACCTATTATTAATTTATCTGTTTTTTAATATTAAAAAATGAAGGAATATATTTTGCAAATTTTATT